CCCACCACGTTGGGGACTATTTACTATTTACTCTGCAAAAATGTGTATGCCGAATGCCGAAACAGTCTTTCATTCAGCCTTGTCCCTCCTGGCCTGCGTTCTTGCACCTCTCCTTTGTCCTTATTAAAGTAGGTTTGTTCCTTTTGTCAAGAAGGCGCTGAAATCTCCCAAGCGCCATATCTAGGCAGTGCTGTAATGGAGGAGAAAGAAATGGAGGGGGGGGGGGACCCTGCTGGATCTCCCCTTGGCAGTCTCGAAGCCACCTTCGCCCGGGACTTGGTGGTGCCAAGAATTTGCCCTGCCCCTCAACCTCTTCCACCCCCCACCCCCACCCCCCAGGAGAACCGGATCTGGGACTTTCCCTTGGGGGAAGGATTGGAGCGTTTTGCCATGTCAGCTTCTTTCCGGAGCGGTGGTGTCCAACTTGTTCTGACAGACTCCTGGCGCCCTGCAGCAGAGTGAGCTCCAGCCTTGCCTGTAGAGGAGCAGGGGGTGAACCATCTCCCAGTTGGCTTCTCCCTCTCTTGCTCTCAGGCGCTGAACATGGAGGAGAGGAGGTCCTTCAGGAGCACATCAGCTACGCTTAGTGGTTCTCCCCGTGGAGAGATCTCCAAGGAGGGTGGTGGTGGTGGTGCGTGGAGTTCTGGGTGAAATTTTGGCACCTAGAAGTTTCTCCTAGCCAAATCCTGGCCAGGATGTTTTCTGCCTCTTGCTTGGTCCATTCCTTGTCCTCTTCCACCACCAAGGCCCAGCCCCAGGTCCTCTCTTCCACCGGGAAGGTGGCCGGTTGGTCCTTGTGGCTGGACAACACTTGCCCTGAGTCTATGCTCATGTCTGAACCGGAGTGTAGCTTCTCTGCTAGGATAAACGAGAATGAAAGTGTGCAGGGAATTTGTTTAGGCCTGCCTTAATATGTAGTGCTGTGGCTACTGTGTCCCCCCCCCCAAAAAATAAGGCCCTGTCTTACTATTTTTTTTGCCACCCAAAAAGGCACCAGGTCTTATTTTTGGGGAGAAGTTCTTCCACTGACTAATCTCACTCGTGTGCGTTTGCCCCGGCCTCCTTTTAGCTGTCAGAGGCCTTCAGCAACTACTACTTCTTGTCTGGCAAGGCTTTTCTGAAGGCCTCTGCAGTCGGATCGATCCAGAGCTTTGTTATCCAGCTCCGGAGGCCTTCAGGAAAGTCTTGCCAGCCTTGCTGGCTGCGGAAAAAATGGGCCGGCAAGGCAGGTGTTGGGGTGTGCGAGGCCTGGCTACACTTGTCCATCTCCACCCTAGCTTAATTTTTACCTGTGCGCTTTGGAGTGGGCGGGATCTTAATTAGGGCTTATTTTTTTGGGGGGGGTAGGGCTTATATTGGGCGCATGTGTAAAAATCAGGCTAGGACTTACTTTCAGGGTAGGTCGTATTTTCAGGGAAACAATATTATAACAGCAAACTAGGGTCTCCTGCTTGAGCAGGGGCTGGATTAGAAAACCTCCAAGGTCGCCTTAATTCTGTTGTTATTTTGTTTTGGAATTAAGATTCCCACATTGGACCATTGGAGCTCTCGACTCAAAATCAGGAGGCCGTGAGTTCGATCCTAGGTTAGAGGCAGATATTTCTCTCCCTGGGCACCATGAGTATATCTGCTGAACAGAACTCCACACTGGTGACAGGAAGGGCATCCGGCCCTTAAAACACTCCGCTAGCTCCATTCATTTGCCCGGATTCCACTCTGCAAGGGATTGATGGGGTCGTTAAAAGAAGTTAATTGAACAATTGGAGAAGTGAATTCAGAAATTAGTTGTGAAAAGAAGAGGGTTTGGGTGAAATTCTCCTGGGTGGAGCGTGAAAGTCTTTGCACTCCCATATTTATAAATACTAAATTTTACCGCATGCATGTGACCAGGCAGCCAAGGGGGTTCATGTGAATATCTCTGCTTGATCCCAGTGAAGACAACCACGTGGTGTTCTGGATCCCTGCCCTGGAAACCTGCTGGAGAAGTTCTCCATTCCCTGAAGGAATTCAGTTTTTCACTGCACCAAACAGGCAGAGATGTTGAAAAGGTGCTTAATTGTCCTCCAAAGCTGTCTGAAATGGGCTTTTCCAAAAAGGCAGCTGTAATTCCTTGGGTTTTTTTCCCCACTTGAAAATGTTTCGCTTCTTTGGCACTTTCCGCCGGCAAGATTGGCAAAGATGTTTAAAGACACGTCTGCTGTATGTTGGAAGTGCAACCAGCCTCCTGGTTCGTATTATCGCATGTGGTGGACATGCCCAAAAGCAAAAAAGAAATTGGACAAAAATACATACATGGTTGGAAAAATCGGTAAAGCCAGCACCTAGATCTAAAGCCAGAAATATTCTTGCTGGGTGTCTTGCCAGAAGAAATACAATAAAGGGAATACTTATTTAAATTTACATGTGTTAACAGCAGTTAGAATTGTGTTTGCACAACAGTGGAAAAACAGAAGAGATCCCTTCAGAGGAAAATGTAATAAAAAAAATATTAGAATGTGCAGAAATGGATAGAATAGAACAGAAGAGAAGAGAATAGAATATAATTCCTTATTGGCCAAGTGTAATTGGACACACAAGGAAGTTGTCTTGGTGCAAATACTCTCAGTGTACATAAAAGAAAAGAGACATCCGTCAAGAGTCAAGAATAATCATCATTTAATGATAGTCATAGGGTACAATAAGCGATCAAATCATACTAGGAAACAGCGAATATAAATCGTAAGGATACAAGCGGCAAAGTTACAGTCATGCAGTCACAAGTGGGAGGGGATGGATGATAAGGAGGGATGAGAAGATTAACAGTAATAGTAGTGCAGACTTAGTAAATAGTTGGACAGTGTTGAGGGAATGATTTGTTTAGCAGAGTGATGGTGTTTGGGAAAAAACTGTCCTCGTGTCTAGTTGTTCTGCTGTGCAGGGCTCTTCAGTGTCGTTTTGACGGAAGGAGTTGAAACAGTTTATATATCCAGGATGTGAGGGGTCTGTAGATATTTTCACAGCCCCCTTTTTGGCTCTTGCAGTATACAGGTCCTCCATGGAAGGCAGGTTGATAGTAACAATTTTTTCTGCAGTCCTAATTACTCTCTGAAGTCTGTGTCTGTCCTGTTGGGTTGCAGAACCGAACCAGACATTTATAGAGGTGCAGATGAAAAACTCAATAATTCCTCCGTAGAACTATTAGCAGCTCGTTGGGCAGTTTGAAATTTCTGAGTTGGCGTGGAGTTATTAATGTTTATGGGTATTATTGTTAACTATTATGACTATTATTTCTTACAATTAACTACCCAGATGACACACTATTTATGTAGACATTGGGGTTTTTTTGTTTGATGAAAAAATTAAAAATTAGGAAGGAAGGAAGGAAGGAAGAAAGAAAGAAAAAGGAGGAAGGAAGGAAGGAAAGAGAAAGGAAGGAAGGAAGGAAGGAAGGAAGAAAGAAAGAAAGAAAGAAAGAAAGAAAGAAAGAAAGAAAGAAAGAAAAAGAAAGAAAGAACATTTTGCTTCTCATCCGAGAAGCTTCTTCAATTCTGAAGTGAAGCTGAGGAAGAAAAAACGGAAGAAGCTTCTCAAATGAGAAGCGGAACATTTTTCAAGGGAAAACAAAGAAAAGTCCATCAGCCTTTTGGAAAAAGCCCCTTTGACCTGGATGATTTGAGTATTCCTACAGACAGGCCTTCTGTGTCTAGGGAGCTGCGGGAGTCCTTGGAAGAGGGAAATTCTGGGGAAATCACCCCCTTTTTCCTTTGGAAAAGCAGGTGTGGGGTTAGGAAAGGCCACCTGGGATTCACAGGGGGGAGCTTTTGGAGAAACGAAATAGCATCACGCAGCTAAGGTAGCCCTCGGTCTATCGCCACGTTTGAGGCCAGCATTTCTGTTATGCGAAGGGGTGGTTCAGCCTGGTTTTACGACCTTTTGGCCCTGCTTGCTAAGCAAATCACTGCAGTTGTTAAGTGAATCACACCGTCGTTAAATGAATCCGGCTCCCCATTGATGTTGGTTGTCGGAAGCCAGCTGAGAAGGCCGCGAATGGGGACTCACCCCCCCCCCAGTGGAACAGGAGTTGCCTTCAGAGGTTGTGAGAGCTTCATCACTGGAAGCTTTGAGGAACAGACTGGACTGCCCCTTGTCAGGAATGGTGTAGGGTCTCCGCTTGGACGGGGTGGGCGGGTTGGACTAGGTGACCTACTAGGTCCCTTTCAACTCTGTTCATCTGTACCTCTATTTCTAACTACCTGTATTCTCCAGAACGTGTGAAGTTATTATGTGCACCAAACGTGCGTTAGAAACCCCTGCGTGCAGAAAGCTAGTTTCTCAGGGCAGAAGGCTGCAGCTTCCCCTTCCCTGAGCTGCTGATGTTCTACTCCAGGGCTCTCCAACCTTGGCAGCTTTATGATTGGTGGAGTTCAACTCCCAGAATTCCTCAGCCAGCAAATCCAGGCTCTCCAACCTGCCTGGTAACCAATGTTACCTCCTAATCCAGTGGTGGCTAACCTTTTTGGACTCCTGTGCCAAAAATTGTACGTTCGTGTGCCCCCATCCACACATACCCCGCCGCCGCCCCCTTACATGCATGCGCCTCACAGCTGATTTTCGGCTTTTGGGGGGTCCTTTTCAGCCTCCAAGAGGCTTGAGGAAGGCTTTGCAGGTTGAAAACTAGGCCCGTTTCGTCACTTCCGGTATTTTCGGAAAAACGGGAAGTGATGAAACGGGCCTAGTTTTCGGCCTGCAAAGCTTGCAGAAGCCTGCAGAAGCCTTCCTCAAGCCTTTGGGAGACCGAAAAAGGCCTCAAACTGCACGAAAATCAGCTGTGAGGGCCACGCGTGCTCAGGTTAAGTTTGGCTGCAGTTTAAGTGCCGGCACAAATGGCTCTGCAATGCGACCTGTGACACGCGTGCCATAGGTTCGCCATCAGCTTTTCCTCCTCTTAAGTTGTCCTCTGGACTCTTCGCTGGATAGGAGGATGAGAGGCACTAACCTGTCCTGCTTTCCCTCCTGTACAGGTGCGCCTCTTTTCTTCTAGCGTGTGCCCAGCCAGCCGATCAAAATAGAGTCCTTCAAGGTGAAAGTTGACTTTCTGAAGGTGCCCCTCGGCCTCAAGAAGCCCACTCTGAAGGAGGCCGCGGCCGCCTTGGTGGCCGTCCCAGGGTCCAAGGCCATCAACGTGGATCGCTACAAGGCTCGGCGCTCAGACAACATGGACAACGAATCACAATATTCGGGGTACTCCTACAAATCGGGGCACTCGCGCAGCTCCAGGAAGCCCAGGTGAGCTGGCTAGACGGGCCAAGTTTGGGGGCGGGTGGAGGAGGTGCCCCGGGGACAGTCCTGGAAAGATCTGGAGAACTTTGGCAGAGGTTCGTCAAGGGACAAAAGGTGGACAGGAAAGGAACTTGATATCAGTGGGGGGTACCTGGCCTTCAGAAGTCGAGGGTGCTCCATCACTGGCGGTTTTTAAGAAGAGACTGGACACGGGTGCCTACCTGGAAAGGTGCAGGTTCTCCTGTTTGAGCAGAGGGTTGGACTAGAAGACCTCCAAGGTCCCTCTTCCAGCTCTGTTATTCTATTCCATTCCATCCTATTTTCTATTCTATTCTATTCTATTCTATTCTATTCTATTCTATTC